TCATTCATTCATTCATTCATTCATTCATTCATTCATTCATTCATTCATTCATTCAATTTTCACCCCGCCCATCTAGATTTGGTTCAGGAATCTACTCTAGGCAGTTTACAGAATATAAAGATAAAGACAGCATTCAAATAACTTTGTTCATAAAAGCAATAAGGATCAATAAACTAATAATAATTTCTTCTCTATCTCAAGGCTCCAAAGGCCTCCATGTCTCAGAACATGAAAAGAAACAAAGGAAGCTTTAAATTAAAGAATATCATTGGAGGCTGATGACACCATTGGCATTCACAGTTGTACTGACTGGATTTCAGACAATAAATGAAACAGGAAGTTTTATGAAGCTACATTAATTTACTGTAAATTATTGCATTTATAACTTTAATCAAGTTGTATTGGGAGAATAATACTGCCACCGGATATAGTGGCAAATTGAGTCAGTCACTATATCAGATTTAAATATATAAAGACTGCCAAAGTGAAGGCACAATGATATATATGCTAGAAGTAGAAGATTAATGCTTTTATTCAGTATTAAGAGAACAAGTAAGACTATATTGTTTTGTTTAAAATGAGACACTGGAGGAATTATTAAGGCTAATTTGAGCAAAGGTTTTATTTCTAAATATATTAATCTATGCTGAGTTAATACATACATCAATTCTGTATCCTACTTTTGATGAGTTGCTTTTCAGTTAAAAGTTATGTTCCAAAATAGAATTTTAATTCCCCCACACCTTTCAAGCAGCACATTTCCACTTTTCATAAGGACTGAGTATGTTGCCCTTCCCGTAATACTTCACAACTAAAATACTGAGCATATGTACAGTTCATACAGGATAGATCCCTTCCATTGCCTATATTGTAGCCATGCTTCTAAAGAAACTGCTGCCACCACCAGAAGAATATATGAAAATAACAGAAAATGAAAAAAATGTTTTTTACCTGATCATTCTAGACTGAAATTGGGAAATTGAATAGGAGCCAGAGTTTTGCATTGCAACTTGTGTGGCCATTGCAAATTTCCAGCCTCTGAAAGTGAATGCACACCATGAATATAACCATGATAAACAATAGGCAATAGGTATGTCCAAGGATGCTCATAAGTCACTTTATTTCTCAACATGTCAGAGACAAGCATTAGATCAAAGGGAATGTTTCTCTCTCTAGAGGTTGTCTGACTGCCAATTCCATTATTCTTCAATACTGGCTAATTACGATATGTACCAGAGGTGCGGATCTGGACACTACATGAAGCAAACCTGCCTCTTAAGCATTTATTTGTTCAGCAGTTATCAGTTCATGAGAATGGAACTTACTATCCTAAGAGATAAGCAACACAGAGGAAAATCATGTGGTTGTTAACACCAACCCAAATAGCAGCTGCAAGTTTCACCATGCTGTGTACAGCACATTTCCTCCACATGCAATTAGCATGTTTGGGAGAAATTGTGGCTTTTTTTTTTTTGCTTTGTCACTTTTCAGCATTTAACATTTCCTCATGTAAACAGAAGAATACTCCAGTCTGAAGAACCATATATTTCTGAAGGACTGAACTTTTTGATTTCAAGATCTTTCGGTCCCAGATTCACCCAGAATCCCCCAGGCAGAATTCTGAAAGTGGGAAAGAAGAAACCAAAAGCAAATAATAACAATAAAATGTCTTTCTACCTCAATTTTCTGCATCTCTCCATGTATATTGGCTGGAAAAGAAACATTACTTACCTGTAGCCATGGTTTTTCAAGTGGTCCTCTGTGAATCCACACAATTGAGTTTGGACTGTGCCTGAGGAGGACTCCTTGGAATATTCTAGAGCTTAAAACATGTAATTAATAGTACGTTTCCCCATGGCGCGCATGCTCTGCCTGCCCGTAATACCTCAGTTCTGAAATATCCGTTGCTGTCAAGGCTCTGACCCCATAACGCTCAAGAACCAAGTAACGGACAGCAGGGAGGATGGGTGGGATGTGTGGATCACAGAGGACTGCTCAAAGAACCATGGTTACAGGTAAGTAACCTTTCTTTCAATTCTTTGTGGCCTCTGTGAATGCACACAACTGGGTGACTAACAAGCTCACTTACTGGAAGCAGGGCCGTAACGCTAACAACGAAGTCAGCACAGCCCTTCCAATCAACAGATCGAATTGAGACAGGTACTAAGCCTGTAGAGAACGCATCTTCAATCGCGCGTGCAGAAGAGCAGAGGTGGTCGAAGCCATGAGACCTAGAAGATGCTGTATGTGGTGAGCAGAGACTTTGGCATAGGGGTGGAAAGGTTGAATCACCCGGCACAAGTTTAGAATTCGTTCGGGTGGAAGGAAAACTCTCGCACTGACAGAGTCCAAATGTGCACCTATGTAGTCTATGACCTGAGACGGCTGGAGAAGAGATTTTGTAAAGCTGACTCTCAGTTCAAGTCCTGCCAGCATTTGAAGAGCAAACTTGGTATCTTGTGACACCTTGTGAAAGGAAGCAGCCATGCTCAACCAATCGTCTATATATGGGAAGACCGTGATGTTGTGTAGACGAAGGTAGGCTGCCACTGGAGCCATGCATTTCATGAAAGTTCTTGGGGTGGTGGAAAGCCCAAAAGGAAGGGCGCATAACTGATAAGCCGTATCTATGAAGTGGAAGCGAAGATACCTGCGGTGACGCTGATGGATGGAAATAGATGTCCTGCAAGTCTATAACAACAAACCAATCATTTGGACAAAGGAGGGGGATGACGGAATCCATAGTGACCATATGAAAATGCCTTGGATGGAGGTAGGTATTAAGTAGTCTGAGGTCTAAGATTGGCTAGAGACCGCCATCTTTCTTGGGCACTGCGAAACAGCAAGAGTATAAACTGCCTGGAACCTCTTGAGGGGAAAGCGTTGGATAGCCTGCTTCTGGAGAAGAATAGATATCTCACCCTCTAGAGCAGGTGCGTAAGTTGTGAATTTGAGTTGATCGATAGGAGGGAGATCTATGAACTCCAAGAGGTAACCGGAACATATGATAGCAAGCACCCAAGTGTCTTTGGTGATATGGGACCACTTGTCTAAGAAAGGAGCTAGCTGGGGGTGATGAGACAGAACCGGCGGATAGTTCAGGATGAGACAGTCAAAGGTACTGTTTGCCTTTGTTTGCAGGTCAGCAGAAGGTTTGTCGACGCTGGATGGGAGCTTGTGATCTAAAGGCAGTATTACCAGAAGAAGCCGGAGGGAGGCTGGACCTTTCCTGAGTGGGATGTCTGTAAGGACGGTAAGCCTGACGGGAAGGTTGTTGATACAATTGCTGTGTATTGAAAGGTTTGCACCATTGATATCTTTGGTATCATGGTTGTTGGACCGAATAAGAGCGAGCCGTCTCCCTGATTTTATGTACGTTCTCCATCACCTCATCTGTCTTCTCATTAAACAACCCAACTCCATCAAATGGGAGGTCCTCAATGCGGGGCCTCGAATCATCCATAATCCCTGCTGAGCACAACCACGCATGCCTTCTGAGTGCAATGTCAGATGTCATTGCTTTAGAAGCAGCATCTGCCATGTGGCGGGATGCTAGCTACTGTTGCTTTGCCAATGTCGTTGCCTCCAGGTGAGCATTAAGGACGGTGGCCTTGGACTCCTCGGGAGCAGCTTAGAGAATAGGCAAGACCTTGCTCCATAACTGCCTCTGGTATGCCCCAATTGCTGCTTGATAATTTGATACCCTCATGACAAATGAGGCCAGAGAATAAAGCCTACGGCTCAAAACATCCAGTTTCATTTCCCCTCTGTTGGTAGGTGTGACCTTCGACCAGTTGCCAGCTCGAGATTGGTTGGATTGTACGATTATGGAATTGGGTGCAGGATGCTTAGTAAGGAAGGCAGTGTCATTCTTGTGTGTTCTGTAATTGTTTTCCACACATCTAGGAATCTGCAGGGACATGGACGGTTGATTCCATGATTCCTTAATGAGATCCAACATCGCTGGAATGAACGCCAAACTTAATGGGGAGGATTTATCTTGATTAATGTCAAGAAAGATGAGATCTTGGGAGGACGTTGTTGCTCTATGTCCAGCTCAAGAGATTTAGCCATATGAAGAATCATACGAGAATACAAGGTGAAATCCTCAGATGGAGAAGGAGGATGGAGGTCAGCCACATCTGAATCAGAAGTAGGTAAACTTGATGGAGACTCCTCTGAAGCCTCTGAAGGTAAGTCTTGCTCCGACACAGAAAACACAGAAGAACCCCTCACAACAAAAGGAGAAGGTGATAGATGGTGCCTTCTTGATACCTGGGCTGGGGCTCGAAGGGACAATGCCAAAGCGCCCTCTTTAGTTGGATGGTGGACCTGTGAGGGAGCTGCCTGAAGTGTCCTTTGGGAGACAGAGGAAGTTGGTATCAAAGGAGTGCGGGACCTCTTCAACATATGGACTACCTGCTGGGGAACGTCCTTGTTTGAAACGTGATGCTTAATAGCTGGCTTTGGTGCCAGAGGTTCGAGCTGATAACAAGCTTGATGCCAATGTCAAGGAACAAGAGGCATAGATGTAGCGCACTCTTTTGGTCCTCACATACTCTCCAGCATCGTAGTAGGGATCGAGGTCAAAGTCGTCTTGACAATATCAACATGTATCATCCCTTCGATCAACTTCCTCATACTCCGAAAAGACCAGACGCCGGGAGGGATGAGGAAAAACCATAACTTCCTGATGTCGAGGATACTCTCGGGCTGTGGAGACATGCCAGTGTTTGGATGTTTGTTTCCTTGGAGGAGACTGCTGTGGCGACACCTCCGAATTCAAAAGATGAATTACTGTTGCCTGCCCAATAGAGATAGGGCTCGAATGGGCCAGGGTCCAGCTGGATATGACCTCAGCCTCAAAATGGCCTTGGCTCAGAGACTGGCTCGGTACTGAGACCGAAGCCTGAGCCTGTGGAGGTGGTACAGAACCAATCACTTCAGAGAGTGAGTCTGGGTTTGGCAGGTCTTGAGATGATTCCTCAAGTATAGGTGAAGGAAGCGAAGCTGGAACCAGAGGAATCTCTCGAAACGGAACAGACTTGGAAGAATGCTTGTCCTTCTTCTGTTTACTGACTACCTTCTTTTTCTTGTGGTTCTCTCCTGATGATGGCTTCAACGTCGATGTCTATGCCGAAGCCTTCTTTGATGTTGATGTCAAAGACTTCTGCTTGGAAGATTTAGAGGAAGACCTTGGGGATGGAGTAGCCAGAGCCAAAGATGCAGCAGGTTCAGAACAGGGGGTAGGAGGCGGGACCGGGGCCAACTCCATGGCCTTTGGGCTTGATGGGGAAAGAGATTTCTCCCAGAGGTACAATCTAAGCCTCTGCAGACAGAGCTTAAGGGCCGGTTTGGTCAACTTCTTGCACTCTGGGCAAGAGTGATTTTGGTGCCTCTCCCCCCCAAAAAACAAGCAGCAGTTGCTGCCGTCCCTGAAGGGGATCTTGTTGGCGCACAGAGAACACCACTTAAATGGGCTTGAGGAGGCCATAAAATCCAATGAACCCGATAAGAGGAGGGAAGGGGAAAGGAAGGAAGATTCATGGGAAAACGTAACAATCGTCTAGAATTCAAGCCAAAATCAGTATCCGAATAATCACAAGTCTAATCACAATCAAGTCCATAATCCAAAAGGGGAAATTGATAATCAGGCTGGAGGTCAGAAGCCGAAGTGACAATGAATACAGCAGAATCCAAAATTGTAATCCATAGCCAATCCAAGATCAAAATTTCCAGAAACACAGCGATGATCAGTAAACCAGACTAGAATCAATACCAGGTAATTGGAAGAAAAAACAGCTCTAGGTAAGAAGTCCGATCACAGCAGTGGCAAAAAGGAACTGAGGTATTACGGGTGGGCGGAGCATGCGCGCCACGGGGAAACGTACTATTAATCACATGTTTTAAATTCTAGAATATTCTGAGGAGTCCTGAGCAGGCGCAGTCCAAACCCAATTGTGTGCATTCACAGAGGCCACAAAGAAGGAGGAGGAAAGGCACCCTTAGTCTCACTACTGCAAACTGCCCTACTGCTCCATAGGAGAGTAGTCTTTGATACATAATGGACTCTTTAGGAGAGCCTTTCACTGAACTACCCTTTCCATAGACTACTGGGGTAATTCCCATGAAACAGTGAAACTATGGGTCATTCCCTCTTTTTCCCAGCCAATACATATGGAGAGAAGCATAAAATTGAGACGGAGAGAAATTTCTTTTGCCTTCTGGTTTCTCCTCTCCCATTCCCAGAATTCTGGCATGGGGCATTGTAGGTGAATTCTGGGACTGAAAATCCATCCATGAATTCTGGAAGTCCAGTCCTTAATAGTTATGCTCAGATTGCACAGCATGATTCATCTTCTATACACTTCACCTTCACTTATATTTCTGAAGGCTGTGGATTGAGATTGCTGAGAGTTACAGTATTTTAACCTTATATGCTGATGTGTAAGTTTGCCTAGGAGGGACCTTTCTGAGTTGGAGTGACTGTCAGTCAATCTAGCAGTAACCAGTTATTCCTTCCCTGCTACTGATTTCAAAGGGAGTCATGACTCTCAGCCTAAGTGTCATTTCCCCTCTATTTCAGTCTGCTGGCAGTTGGCAGTTTGTGCAGTTAGAATATAGTCTGCAAGAGTCTGCTGGAAGTGGTCATCAGTAAGTCTATTAGAGTCTACTGCTGTAAGCAGCCATTTTTTGTACAGTATGCTGTTTTTGATCTGTTCAACTATAAGTAAATGAAAATTTTAATTCTTTCTCTTAGCAGTGTCTCAGAGTGAGTTACTGAGATTATGTGTCAGTTGATAAGACAATAAGGGGTGGCCTGAAGCTATTTCTGTTCTGTAGGTCCCTGGACTTCTGCTGTGCAGATAAAGAAGTTTAGCCAAAATTCAAAACTCTGCAACAGAGATTTCCCTTCACCTACTTGGCTACTTCTGCTCCATTCAACTGTAACAAAGAAATAAATAGGACTTCTGAAAATAAAGTGTTAAGATGCAAAAGCAGCTACATTGCTGGTGATTGTCTCTTTTGCTTGCTTAAAAAAATCTTGAATCAAGTTTCAGGATTTCTATTGCAAGAACTATTTCATGAGATAATTATTTCTCTCAGTGATGGTGCAGCTGTTGCCAGGTACAACAAATTGTCTGAAATAACGAACCACTACCTAAGAAGGAAGTCATAGTGAAATGGCTTTAATAAACTGGTAAAGACCAAGACCATAACATGGCCACAACTTCTAATCTGCAACCCTACTGACATAGATAATTGAACAATTTTTTCTATGAACAATTGGACAAGATATAAATACTGAGCCAGTAGAACTATATACTCCTGCTTTCCTTTGGAGACATAAGTGAGTCAACGGATGTCTCCAGTGATCAATATAGAGGAGGGAATAATTTTGGGATATCTCCTTAACTTCACTGAACAGAGGCCCAAATTCCACTGAAACTACATATAGAAGGGTAATTGCACATACACTTCACTTCTCTCATTGGGAACCACATCATGGGACTAGTCATGCAACTTGTAGAACCTATTTTACAGATAGTTAACAATGTATATCCCTCCATAGCAGGGAACTGCTTGTTGATCATTCTTCCTCTCCCAACAGGATTCTTGACACAAGATTATTTTAGATACTTATGTTCATATGCCTCAGTTATAGTCTTTTTACTTTCTGTACACTGGTAAAAGAATGCTCTAGTGTACCATTGTGAGCTTTATAGATGTAGCACTTACAGGATATTTTAAACTTGAAACAATATTCTTTAACATTTCCTGGAGAATAACATTATCCTACCTGTCAGCTATTGCTTTAGCCATAAAGTAATCCTCAGCAATGTACTGTGCAAAAGCTATAAGTCCTCCAGCTTGGTCCAAGACATCTTTTCTCATCAAACAAGACATTCCTGTTACACATTTGAAACCAGTTACATGAGCAGAAATGTATGTTCTTGGATGGGATGTGCCAAAATATACCTGTAAAATTAAAAGACATGTCCAAGTTAATTAAACTTACCATAATGCAGGTCATGGGAACATCATGACCTGCATTTTAAGTACTGTACATACACATGTATTCACTGTATGAATGTAAGTTCTATGTTTTACTGAGTTTTTTTAAAATGTAATTGACAATCCTTGGAAATAACATTATCCATACAATCACATATACAATAATAAATTTATGGATAATATAATCCATTCCTATAGTCCATTAATACATGCATTCTACCAGTCTTAAAAGATATCAGAGCAATAATTCAGCTGACTTCTCAAAATGTTGTCCTCTCCATTTAATTCCAAACCAAAAACCAACAAAGGGCACCAAATTTTAATGACGTTATCTTCTTTTATTTCTCCTCAATGCAGTGTAACATGAGTAGTCAGTTTTTCCTTCAGTGTTATTATTAGTGCTATAATTTGGTAAGCATGCACAAATGTTACATACTATATTTTTAGTTTTGCATAACTGGTATATCTTACTGGGTTGGAGCTCCTGGCTGCAAAGCCAGGGCTGGGAGTCCAAAATCTCCATTGCATCTCCTAAAAGAAGAGCCAGCTGAGATCACTCAGAGCGTGTGTGAGATGTCTGTGTTCCCTAAAACCTCTGTGGCTTTGGGCAAACTGCATAGTTCTAGAGGGACTGATAAATTCATTCATTCATTTATTCAATTTATATACCATCCATCTAGCCAACCACTACTCCAAGCAGTAGACCAATTCTGTGTGCTTTATACCTAGAAAAGTCTCATCATAATTAACTTGTTGGCATATGATCATTAACTACAATATAAGTGGCATAATGTCCATTTTGGATTCCTAATGCCCTTTGTAATTTTACATCACCATGTTGCAGTCAAATTAACCTTATTAGGCTACAGTGCAATAAGGAAAGTGATAAAGAAACAAATAAAGGAGGAATACATTATTCAACTGAAAGAGGCACAGGAAATACATCAATATTCTAAAGCAGAAAAGAAAAAGAAGAAAAGAAGGGAGACATAGTCATCTAAATACCTAACAGTATTATATTCAATTTGAAGTGACAACAGCCAAACAGAGAATTTCAGGGACAATAAGCATTGTTCAGTTCCATGTTAAGGGTTAATATTAGCTAAGAAAAAAAAGAAAGCATCAAGATGTTGAATCATACAAGCAATACCAGCCCAGTGGTTGTTACAGCATCTGGATAAAGACAATTTTGTTCCTTTACTGCCTCCTGGCATTGCATCTAAATTAAGAGAACTATTCTGGCTGCAGAATAAAACCTAGCAATATGCCACTCTTCCTAAATGGGATATATCATCCACAGGAAATGTTGCCAGATTTTCAGGTACTAACAATGAATTGTACCCAACAGTGTCCTTCCACTAGCAGAACAGACAGCGCTGATGGACTGAATTCACCCTCCCTCTGCAGAAAACAAATCAAAATTTATTACTCTTGCACATTTTTTCTACTCACATGACTATGTAGGCTCTTGGAGCTTTAAAGTATCATGATGCCCAGTAATTTGAATATAAAAAATGGGAGGGGGAGAATAAATGGGAAAGAAGCAGGAGCACAGAAAAGCACTCACCTGTTCTAGAGTGGCAGCAAAGCCCTGTCTATCTGCTACATAGGGCAGGCCATGGACCAGTCCAACTTTTTCTGTCATGTGATTGGCCATATCAGTTAGTGTATCCGGTGTGACTAAAAATAAGAACTGGACTGTGGTTAATATCCATGGATCATTTTTTTAAAAAAAAACCCTTTATACTCTAATTTAAACTTAGAAGAATACCATTTTCTCATTTACACTCAAGATTTCAACTAGTGATAGTTTCACATTGTTTGATGCTTGCAAACCATTATTGGGGGGAAACACAACTTTTAAGAAATAGTTAGCATGCGTATATAGATTGTTACAACACTATGAACTTGGGTTTTAGCTTGAACACGTTGGTGACAGTCCTAGAAAACAAGTACAGTGGTGCCTCACACAACGATGTTAATTGGTTCCAAAAAAATCAACGTTGTGTGAAACATCGTTCTGTGAAACACCATTTCCCATAGGAATGCATTGAAAACCGGTTAATCCGTTCCAATTGGAACGGATTGCCGTCTTTAAGTGAAAAAACCCATAGGAAACATCGTTGAGTGAAACAATGTTTTCTCCATTGGAATGTATTGAAGCCGACTCAATACATTTCAATGGCTTTGCGAAGTCCGTTTTTGCTCCTGTAAAAGTGCCTTACAATGTTTGGAACAGGTTTTAAATGCTTGCAATCGTTAGCCCACCTCCTGAACCCTATGCAAACTTAATTTGATGTTGTTCTGATTCGTCTTTAATTTTTGGTGATTTTTTGAATTTTCTCTCATTGGAATGCATTGGACGGAAAGTTCCAAACATTGTAAGGCACTTTTAAATGAGCAAAAACGGACATCGGAAAGGGCTCTGTGATCTCCGTTTTCCTGCTTTTGAAGCTCTTTCCGATGTCCGTTTTTGCTCATTTAAAAGTGCCTTACAATGTTTGGAACAGGTTTTAAATGCTTGCAATCGTTAGCCCACCTCCTGAACCCTATGCAAACTTAATTTGGTGTTGTTCTGAGTCTTCGTTAATTTTTGGTGATTTTTTGTTTTCCCTATTTAAATGCATTGAACTGTCCATTCAATTGATTTAAATGGGGAAAATAAAAAAATCACCAAAAATTAATGAAGACTCAGAACAAAACCAAATTAAGTTTGCACATGTTTCACAAGGTGCACTATGGAATCCAAGCATTTAAAACAGGTTTCAAACATTTTAAGACACTTTTAAATGAGCAAAAAGGGACATCGTTAAGTGAAATTCCCCCATAGAGAACATTGTTAAACGATGGGGGAAATTCCTCAAAAAAACCCATCGCTGTGTGAATTCATTGTTGTATGAAGCAATCGTTGTGCGAGGCACCACTGTAATATTAGTATTATAGACACCTCACATTTTAAGAATCTGAGACAAGCAACATCCAAATTCAAGTGCTCAAGTGTCATTGAACATTGGAGCTTTTGCTTAAGATTTGTATAATACAATGACTGAAATCCTGTTTGTAGTGAGAGTCAAATTGTAACTTTTTGTACATTCCTCAGTGATAAACAAAACACTCCATGTTTCTCAGAGGCATGGACAGGCATGATTCAATCTACAGTGTGTGTGCATGCCTAAGAATCACAAAAGGGGAACTTTATTTACCACAGAGGAACAGACAGAAAATTATGATGTGTCTTATGCTACAAAAGGATTTCACTTGGTGAGAAGGAAGGCACTATTTTACTGTCGGAAAAGAGCTTAGTCAAATTATTAGTGCATCCCAAACTCCTGGTCACTCTGTTGACAGTGAAAGAAGGAAGAAGGCAAACTATTCTGAATCTAGGCAATTAAAACTTTTCACCTGATGAAGCTGCTACATTGGGACCAACAACACAAAATTTAGTTTAAAAGATGTATTACTGCAATGATAGCCCACACACACAAAAAATCAGCCTTACTCCCCAAGATTTATTCAAATGTAATGCAGGCAGCAAAGCAGATAATGTAATGCTGATGCCTTGTGAACTAAAGAACTTTATTTGCATTGACAAAAGATGGGCACTCTAATCCCAATTTAGCTGCATTTGATAACATTTGTGGCATGCTACCTTTCACTTTGCCACTATGCCCAAACCTTTTACTATTCTAAGTTTCTTTAAGTTTGAATTCTAACTTCATTTCGGCAAGGGCATACCACTTTTAAAATTACTATTTATAATATTATTATTATTATTAAAATACAGTCAAAAGACTTTAAAAACAATATTCCATTGACAGCAGCTGAACTCACCTCTAATGCCACTATCACAAATCCATATGAGGTCATACTTGGCAACTTCATAAGCTGGCATTAAATTGTTGATCTTTGGATTTATCCCAACCTTTTTGCCACCTTAAAGGGAAAATATGTCCTGAGTTATTTGAATACAATCTACTCATATTTTTAGAATATACTATTTCCAGATAAAACTAGGACGATGAGATACTTTGCACACAAGCATCTAACAGGTAGAGAGAGGAAGTCCAGAGAAGAATCAGGGAGCTTTGCACAGCAGCATCATAACATCTCAGCTTCTTTGCAATATTTATGTCTTAGTTTGAGAATTTGTATTTGCAAATAGAGTGCACACTGACAAGGAAGTGTAACCTGTATCAACTCTTTTATATGAAACACATTTGCAAAACATTAATTGTGCTTTCACAACTCATTTTGATATGTATATGTAAGAAATTTTAAGGGAATGTGATAGGCACTGTTGAGGAGAAGAGGGGACAGATGCAACAAATCAGGGCCTTTTTCTTTTTTTTCCTTTGCTCTAGAGACACAAAATGTTGAAACAACTTTTAAAAGGAAGAACAACACTAGATAATGCAGATAGAAAACAAACATTTTGGGACTTTTTTTCTGCCAACAACTGCTGCAGTCATGTTTTCCTGAAATGACTCTAAGCAATAAAAATGTTCATGCTATTCTCATATGAAACTTTGTATGACATAAATAGTTTTTATAAAATTTAAAAGGTAATTCTAGATTTTACTTATTTACTTATTTATACATTTTAAAGAAATTCCTTAATCTGAAGATTTCACAAAGGGGTACAAAAAAAATAAATCAATGAGTGAAATCCTGTTTTGCTATTACACAAAAGGTGGAATTTTTGGAATTAAATTGCCACAAGTTAAGAAATCTCCATATACATCGTGCAATTCAGTGTGCAACAGATGTCTACAGTGATTTCCTAACTTAAGGCAATTGTCCCCCCAAAGCTATGCCTTTTTTGTAGCAGCACAACAGGGTTTCAGCAAGTCTTTATGTTACCTATGAAGCAGATAGTCATTGGGTTTACACAGCGAAGGATTGGAAAAATCAATTAGGTTTCACCATGCATCTCAAAATAATATTTTTTTGCGTATGTCAGATTTCAGAAGAATAGTATTCCAAAGTTACACAACCAGTAATGATAAAAAAGCCACCTACATTAAAGACATTAAAAATACATTTGTAACTTTACAGCAAGAATTTTTCCTGACTGATCTAATCACTTATTAAAAGAGAACACATACCATAAATCTTGTTTGACTCACCTATAAAAAGTCTTGCATCAATATTGGGATATTTGCCAAGGAGCTTTTTACACACATCAATGGCAGGATCATCATGATCTTGGACACAAAGAAGCACTTCATACTGGGACAAGAAAAGGGAGGAGAATGCAAATTGTTATGTACAGACAAATGTCTTTAATGTTAGGTTTAATGACAAACATCAGTATGGGGAAGGATGTGAGTGAGCTCACTGAAACATCTGGATTGTAATATTCTTAATACTAGCATACAACATGTTTTTCTCAAAGAACCTTACAGAAGGAACTCCAAAAGAACTTCAAAATGTCTGAAAGTATTCCTATCAATCTGAATTTAACTGCCATATATTATCTGACAGTTTATGTATATTCAAATAAGTAATTTGATCATGCAAAATGTTCACGTTAAAAACACCTGTTTTCTGTGACTGTCGCATTACAGAAATCCTGGCATGACAGCATTAACAAGTCAAAGTTGTTAGAAGCCACCAGTTTCAGATAATAAGAAACACTACCATGACTTATTTTTGCTGTAGATATTATATCTCATTGTTTCACGCATGCAGTCATTGGGGAGTGCTGATGCACTTTTTCCTTGCCCCTCAGCAAAGCAGGAAAACTGGAATCACCCAGATGTTTGGATTAAAACCACCATAAGCTTCAGCCACAATAGCTAATTATCAAATATTATAAGTTATAGTTGGAAGCATCTGAAAACAGCTGGTAGCTAACCTGTACCCTACAGTACTCTATTGTATATATTCACTCTTTTTTGCTGTGGAATAAGAGACAGAGCTATAATCAGAACACAACAACTGAGAAACAACCTTGACTTACACCCTGTTGTATTCCTTTTGTGTCTGCTAGGGTGTATTTCCCCAAGTCAAAAGAGACAAAATTATTATGCCTAAAATGGAATATCCCTTAAAAAACAAACCACACAGGGAGCGCCCCCAGATCGCTTTACATCTAAACCTGTGGAAAAAGTTCTCCCCTTAATGGAGCTTCCAATGGGAAATAAATTAGTTCTGGCCCATACCCCATTCCCCACTGCTGATTTATTTAACTGGAAACAAGATCTTCCACCATATCGAGAGGCCCCTCAGGAGTACCTGGACTTGATCCAACAGATCATTACTACTCACCACTCTTCTGAGCAGCCTCCTAAGTGAAGATGAGAAATGCCAGGCTCTTGCTAAGACCTACACCTGGTATACTACCCATAGGGTTCACCAAATAGCCGATGGCAATGTAACAGTTGATTGCCCTGAAGCAGCAGCCCTCATAACCCGAGTTATTGATCCCAAACCTAATAAGCTTGCTGGGGCCCGTCTGCTGAAAGCAGCAAGAAATGCTGTAATTCATGGCCTCAAACTAGCAGTGCCAAAGGCTGTGAAACCTTCACAGAGTATATGAGATTTGTTTAAAAATCCACTGAATCCCCAAATGAATTCCTGACGAGGCTCAAGGATGGTTTTTGCCGGTACACTTACCTTGATCCAGATTTGGAATCAACAGACAGCTGTGCTACAGGTGCAGCTCCAAAAGCATCCAGCCATGTGTGACCTCAGCCACTGAACTGCCCGAGTCCTGCAGCTAGTCTGGTCAGACAGCTATGCATCAGCTGTAGCACAGCTACACAAAAGCACGTTGCACATGTCTCTCTGCTGTCTGTCTACTCACTGTCTAAGATACAAGGGTGCTTCTGAGGAGAGATACCTGCTCAATAAAATGCTATGTACAACAACCCTGAGTCAAGTTTCTTTATTAGACAAGGTAGCTCAGGGCCATGCTCCTAGGGAAGGATATTGCAGGAAAAAGAGAGGGACACAAACCCTGTTTTCATTGGTAATGATAAGAAGGGTGGGAAGGAATGCATGGCTTGCCAATCATGAGCTGTATGAATGGGATGTCTCATGAGGCTGAGGGGCTGGGAAGACACTGCCATGGATACAAGCTGGTGCCCTAATCATCAGTCAGGAGGTAGGAGGTGGGCAAGATATCACTGGGATAGATACAAGCTGGCCCCACCAATCCTGAGCGAAGAGGCAAGGGTGGGAGGGATTCAAATTGCCCACCCCAATCATGAACCAAGAGGTAAGGGGCAGGTGGACTGACAGTGGTAGGGATTCAAATTGGCCCTCCAATCATAGGCCACAAATTTAGTATTGTAGAAGGGACCCAAGCTGCCCAATCATGAGTAAAAACAGAAGGGAGAGTCCAAGTGCAAACTCAGCATTACCCAAACAGGAAGGAGAGCAGGAAGATGGACAGTGAAAGGGCCAGGCCTTGAACTGTGTAGAGTTGTGCAGAATTGTGTAGAGTTGTGTCAGATGGACAACAAACTATAGGATCCTTGGAAAGCACAACCTAAGAATTCTTGTCTGAAGTATAAATTTACACAGCTCTAGTCACTAACCTTGCTATTAATCATGAACTAGGGGGAAGAGGGAGTAATGTAAGGCCATCCTATATAGATCAATAAACAGAAATTTTCTTTGGCTGCCTCCTGTGGTTCTCTCAGACAGTGGGGTGGGTGGATGTTTAAATGAGAGAAAGGCAGATGTCATGGGGACACTGACTGCACCAGATGCACTAGGAGGGGCTTATCCTTCTATGGCACAAACTGGTGTTGCAATGGGTTTCATGGCAGCTGCAGAAAGGACTTGCATTTGGGGGAAATAGCCCACTGTACCTTTAACAGGCATCTCCCTCTTAATTGTGAGAGTCTAGTTCAGCCAGCCTAAGGCCAGCCTGGCTAGTTAGGATTGTGCCCTAAATCAGGATGAGAAAAGGAAAGATTTATTTTAGTGCTAACATTTTCTGAATTTGGACCAGGGTTCTGTGACATAAATAGTACTTTGAATGGCAATTAGTTCTCCAACATCTTCTAATATTCCATTCTTGACTCTTGACCTAAAAAGGAGTAGGTAAAGAGCTCCATGTCATTAACTGAGATAGTTAATGGATGCTCATTTGGAGATACTACTTATCATTTATGAGCTTAAAACAAAACCAAAAACAAAACAGCCCGACAGCAGCCCATGCAGAAGTATTTATAATCCACAGGACTAGACTTTTATTTCACTATTGCAAGCAGCCTGGTTGGGCTTAAGAGTGTGAGAGACATTTAAATAACTATTGACATACTGCTGAGGACATAATGAGATAAGGTGTCACATGACCTCTGAGGTCACATGATTGCTGGAGCAACCGTGCTCCGAATGGTCTTTGCCCACTTGCTGCTTTCCTGCCTCAACAGCTGTTTTGTCTATAGCTCTGGAAACTACATTAAGGCATTGCCTGGGTAGTGTAGGTTTAAGGTGGTGAGGTCTGGCAGGGCAGTTGATGTACTTTTGAGAGGTTGCTGTTGTTTTTTAATGGAGATAAATGGGTTTGTAAGGGGGCAGCCAAATGTAAGCTGGATTTCAATAACAGACTTCCGACACAGATGGGAAAGAGTAGCATTTGTGGGGATCCTTTTCTGGGTGCCACCTTCCTGATGGAGCCATGGGTGTAGTTGTTGGAAATGAAACAGAAATGTTTCATTTCTGAGACATTTGCCCACTCTGCATGATTAATCTGTTTATTTCACCCCTAGCATTCATTAGATTGTATTCGGTTAATCTTCCTTAGTAACCATAATTAGAAAAACAGTTTTAATTTATGTTGTTCAGAAGTGAACAACAGATCTCTTTACATATTGTTTCCAAGTCTGAAGGGTTCCAAAGATTATTGTGCCTGAAATATTGACCCTTTTAATGTGTTAATATGCCAGGATCTATTGACTTGTTCAGCTTAATAGTTCTCTTTCTGGGTTGATTTCTCTTGCATTTATTTCCATATTCATAGTGTTAATTACTTGCTCAAAATTTAAAGAGATAGTGGTTTATAAATATTAATACGTATCACATAACTATCTTCTAGGTAAAACAACATATCTTATGATTAGGCACTGACCAGGTAAGGGATCAAAACTCAATTTAAACTTTTTTTAAAATATCTTTCCTTCTCATACAGGCCAAGACACCGAGCAGGTAAGAGATCAAACCTTGGTTTGATTTTTGCATTTTTATCAGCTTCCCTCCTTATGCAGGTAAAGACACCAAACAGGTAAGAGATCAAACCTAATTTTGGTTTGATTTTTCCATTTTTATCAGCTTCCCTCCTTATGCAGGTAAAGACACCAAACAGGTAAGAGATCAAACCTAATTTTGGTTTGATTTTTCCATTTTTATCAGCTTCCCTCCTTATGCAGGTAAAGACACCAAACAGGTAAGAGATCAAACCTAATTTTGGTTTGATTTTTCCATTTTTATCAGCTTCCCTCCTTATGCAGGTAAAGACACCAACCAGGTAAGAGAGCAAACCTAATTTTGGTTTATTTTTTTCCCAGTTTTACTGCCTTCCCTTCTGTGCTGTGATTTTTGTATGTGTGTTTTAGTGTGGTTTTCCCCCCAGTCCCATCGCGTTCAGGTTGGCTGTGCATATGTGGGGGGTGTTTTTGTGTTTTTCCCCCCAGCCCCATGGCATTATGCTGGGGCTGGCTGTGTGTGTGGGAGGCTTGTGGTTTTTTCCCCAGCCCCATGGCATTCCGCTGGGGCTGGCTGTGTGTGTGTGGTTGTTTTTAAGTGTTTTTCCCAGCCCCATAGCGTTCCATTGAGGCTGGCTGTGTTTTTTGTTTGTCTGTTTTGGTCTGTTTGTTTTTTTGGCCCCAGTGCATTCCTGTGGGGCTTCCAGTGTTTTATTTTTATTGTATTTGTTTTTTGGTACTTTTTCCCACCCCCCGACCAGGGAGGAGATCAAACCTAATTTTGGTTTATTTCTTCCTTTTTAACTGCCTTCCCTCCTTATGCAGGTAAAGACACCAAACAGGTAAGAGATCAAACCTAATTTTGGTTTATTTTTCTCCAGTTTCACAACCTTGCCTTCCTTAAACAGATCAAGACACCAACCAGTTAAGAGATCAAACCTAATTTTGGCTTATTTTTTCCATTTTTATAAGCTTCCCTCCTTATGCAGGTAAAGACACCAACTAGGTAAGAGAGCAAACCTAATTTTGGTTTATTTTTTTCCCAGTTTTACTGCCTTCCCTTCTGTGCTG